AAGGACGTGTCATTTCACTCTCGCTTGCCATCCGATCTCAATAAATTTGAGTCATGGTGTTGTGCAAATATGTTACACCTAAATGCCTCGAAATGCAAAGTAATGACATTTCATCGCTCCAGCCCCTTGTTGGCTCCATACAGCCTCTGCGGTGGTTCTCTTGAGGGAATCATCATGCTTAATGACCTAGGTGTTAGACTAGATCCCAAGTCAAAGTTCTCTGAACACATTTCTACTATGGCAAATAATGCCATGGGTGTGCTTGGGCTTATAAAAAGGTGGTCAAAGGAGTTTGACGATCCCTATATAACGAAGACTCTCTATATCTCGCTTGTTCGTCCGATTTTAGAGTACGGCTCTTGTGCATAGCGCCCCCAGTACAAAGTACACCAGGACTGGTATCAGTCCAGAAAAACTTTTTACATTTTGCTCTACGCGGCCTTAACTGGGATGCAGGTGTGAGACTGCCATCTTACCATCGTAGATTACTTTTAATAAACGTTCCCATCGTAGTTAGTCGTAGAAAAATGCTTGGTGTGATTTTTATGCACAATCTGATCAAGGGTGACTTAAATAGCCCTGACTTCTTGAGTCGCATAAACTTTACGATTCCTATTAGATCTACTAAAAACTTTGTCCCTTTCCTGTTACTTTGTAGATCAAATTATTCCTCGCATGAACCGTTTAGGGTCTTATGCTCGGATTCTATTGTCAATTGGATGAAGGCAGAATCGGAGATCCTGACCGACATGAAGGATGTCATTATACGCGCAGATAACTCGTTTGTCTGCGAGTTCAAGGGTATCAAGGGGTATAAGGGAGCCAAAGCAGTGGCCTGTGGCAATGCAGAAGCTCTTGAGTTTCTCAAAACCACGGTCCAAGGTTTTGGTGAACTTTGGCCAGGAGCGGCACTCTGCGTGGTCCCCACGGATCAGATTCCCAGGAAAAAGATCATGAAGGTGTGGATTCGAAAAAAAATTTGTTCTTGGCTCGAATTTATGGTTTTAGATCAGAGGCCGGCAGCGTCGTATGCACTGTGCATAGGAAAAATTTTCAGGCAGCGCAGTCGGCACACGTACAGCGTAAAGACTTCGTGTGGTTTCGCTATTTTGCGCTGCTGACGTAGCGGCAGAGAAAGTGTTTCGTCATGTTGTCGTCTTAGTCAATGTTTTATGTTAAGATTATTTTTGAATTGTTTTGAAGTCTAGTGTAAGTAGGTTAGGGCAAGGCGGGAGCGCAATAAAAGCTCGCTCTTTCGCTCAAGGCGAATTCGCCCCGCTTTGCCACCGTAGGTTAGTTAGGCATAGAATGAAGTGTAATGAATTTTTAGAATATAATCGTTGAAATTGAATTCGATCGAGCGCACCTAAATTATTTCGTCCCCGCTTTTAATAAATCTTTACGCCACCCAAGTATTTCGGTTTTGTGTTATTAGAAAAACTATTCTAAATTTTCATGGCGCCCCCGGGTGGACGTAAAGAATAAATTAAAAAGGCAACAAATAAAAGTGACAGTGACACAGTGTAAAAAGAGTGTAACAAAAAAAAAAAAAATACGTACACACACAGAAAGTTATAATAAATATAACTAGTTTATTCTATTATAGAATAAAAGTGTCGTTTGTGTATCCAAATCCTTGCCAAAACCATCGTGTCGGCCGCGCAATACCCTCACCGCCTGTTGCTGATCGCGGCTGCTACCCTTCCGTCATACCTGCTGCTTCACCGTTGCTGCTACCCTGCCTATACTTGCTGTTTCACCGCCATACCTGCTGCTTCCCAAACAGACCCCGTAGCTGCAACCTAGAAGACCTATGGCCCCTTGTGATTGCACGGACTGCAAGAGGAAAGTGGCAGCTGGACTTAAAGATCCGAACGCAGAGCCTGAGGTATTTGTGCAAAAAATTGAAAGCTAGAGCCGAAGACATACAGTCGCCGGGACCGGGGCGGGGCCCGGGGCGGGCGGGGGGGGGGGGGGGGGGGGCCGGCGGGGGGGGGGGGGGGGGCCGCGGGGCCGCCCGCCACGCCCGGGCCGCCCGGAGGCGACTAAATACATATATAAATTGTCTTGTGCTGGAAAAATTGCACCTCGCTTTCAATTCTTGGCACAGCCGTATGATATAGTAGAGTTTGATTTGCATGCATTTATTTTATTAGTGCACATACATACATATATAACACCATATAACACATATGTACAAAAACCATACCATACTCTATTTGAACCGCTATTTGGACGCACAATTATATATATATATCGTTTACCGCAATCACTGTCGCCCCCCCCTTTCCCCTCTCGTTGTGTGAAATTCGCCAAAAAGTTGGTTCGTTAACCCAAGCCGCGGTGTATAACACTTACTTCCATACATACATACATACATACAAGCAGCTGCACCGGTGCATTCTTTTCGTCTCTCGCTTTCGCTTATCCACCGTTGCTTGCTGTGTATTTGGTGGGAGAATTTCGTTGCCGCGCTTGATCAAAATGGAGCGCCAAGTGACGCGCTACCCTGTTTTTTGAGGGTATATTGTTTTTCTTGTCACTTCGCAAGTGACGCGCTACCCTGCATTCTTAGGGTATATTGTTTTGGCTCTCAGTTGGAAAGTGACGCGCTACCCTACATTCTTAGGGTATATTGCTTTCGGCTCTCACTTGGAAAATTACGAGCTACCCTACAGTGTGAGGGTATATCGTTTTTGGCTGTCACTTGCAACCAACTATACACCTCGTGACTCGACATTCAATTATTGTCGTTCTCGATTTTCGTTCTTTTTTGAACATTTATTATTTCTTTATCTACAAAAATATTGGTTTTTGTCGCGAAGATTATAAATAGTAAAATGGCACAAGAAAATAAGTCTGTTCTCGATGACTTAAAAAGTAAGCTCAGAAACCGAGTCAAAAGCATTCGCCGCTTAGAGGATCGTTTAGAGGGTGGGTCGATTCCATTGCAATTGACAGAGCTACAATGCAGACTCGATGTTCTGAATTCTGCTATTAACAAGGCCAACCTATTGCAAGAGCAAATAGAAGAAATTAATAGCAAAGATGAATTTGGAGCCGAGCTGGAAGAAATGGCCATTGCAACCAAGGCAAAGATAATGTTGCTTATCGATGCCTTGAAGCTAACAAGCGATACGCCGCCCTCGGTATCAGCTTCTACGGCCCCAACTCGTGCTCGACTTCCGAAATTGGCACTACCAAAATTTAGTGGTAAATATTCGGAGTTTAAAAATTTTATTAGCCTTTTTGAGACTCTGGTTCATAATGATGAGACTATACCGGTGATCGAAAAATTTAATCATTTAATTTCGTGCCTCTCTAATGAAGCATTAGGAACAATAAAGGCGTTCCAAGTCACCGAGGCCAATTATGCAAAGGCCCTGGACAGCCTAAGGCGAGTATATGACAACGAATGTCTAATATTCTCGAACCAAATCTCCGCACTGTTTAATCTGCCAAAAATCTAGAGGCGTCAAATCGACTAAAAACTGCCTGCATAAAATTTTTAGACGATTGGCTCCCAAGCCTTCGGGTCGGGAGGCGATAGCTTCGGCAGGCCACTCGGCTCTCTCCGGCTTGAGCCGAGAGAGAGCGCCTTTGCAGCTGTGTCGAATATAAGCCGTGTGCGTGTGTAACTCTATGCCTGTATTTGTGTCCTCTGACTCTGACGCCTAGCAACGAAAATCTTTTTTGTCATTGCGAGTTGGATTGCGTTGCTGTTAGTCGATTTCGAACAGCCTATTTCGATATTGCGATTTAATAATATCATCATTTACATACATATTTATATTGTTCTTATTATTATTACTATACTATTTTTGATTACTATATTATACAATACAAATAAATAACCTATTTACTATTTTATTATAACATACATATATCTATTCATACTTTACATTCTTCTTTATATTCTTTATTATTCTTAATATATTATATTATGGAATTACCAACTAAGGACCATAGACAAGCTGGCTCCAGGTGCGTTATAGAATCGTGCTTGCAAGGGTACAGGAATGGCGCCGAGCATTTTCCTATACGCCTTTTCAAATTTCCCAAAAACGAAAATGTTCGTCGTCTGTGGGTTGCAAATTGTAATCTAGGTCCGGATGTAAATTTAAATAAAGCGCATATATGCAATCAACATTTTGAAAATAAGTATTTTGGCAATAAAAAATTAAAATCAGGTGCTGTACCAACTCTGAGATTGTTTCAGGCACCGAATTTCAATAACAACCTTCCTCAAGCTACCGAAAACAATGTGTTTAGATTTGCGGACAATAGCGACGAAATCGGATCATATTCTGATTTTAAAAAAGAAACTTTTATAGTAAAAAATAATTTGGAATTTGACGTAGACATGGAAAGTCTACCTTCCGTCGCCATCGAACCCGTTGATAATAAAATGATTGTATCTGATGAGCCTACCCAAAATGTGGAATTTTGTCCGAACTGCTTGAAGAAGGAGCAAAATGAATTATATTACAAAAATAAGTATTGGGAAATGTCTCAAGAACTTAATAAAGAAAAAAAGAGAGTTTTATTGTATAGGAAGAAGGTACATAAGCTGCAAACATCGTTAAGGATCGAAAAATACAAGAAGCTCCGATATTCGAAAGAGTCACGTAAACGGGAAAATATATTTACATTGATAGACAAGAATAAAATGATATCAAAAAATTCAAATTCGGTTTGCAAAATGCTCCTTAAAAATAAAACTTCCTGGCAAGAGGATGAAAAAATAATTGCTCAAAGCATACATTTTTATTCTTCCAAGGCATATGATTTTATGCGAAATGATTTGGGGTTAAATTTTCCGTCTAAATCATCTTTGGGTAGATGGGCTCCTGTGAAATGTTTGGTCCCAGGCCTAAATGAGAGTTTATCAAACACGTTGCTTACAATATTTTCAAAAATGGATGTAAAAAGTAAGCATGCTGTTTTAATTTTCGATGAAATCTCAATTAGAAAGGGCCTGCATTATAATTCACACCGAGATGAAGTGGAAGGGTTTGTGGATGATGGTGTGGAAAAAATATCTCAACTGTGCAAGCAAATTTCTGTATTCATGGTTAGGGGGCTCTATGTGAGTTGGAAATATGTTTTAAGTTACTTTGCAACATCCACTGGGCTGACTTCTCTGAAGTTAAAGGAAAAAATCGAAAAAAATATCAAAGCTGCTCATGAATTGGGCCTTTATATTAGAGCAATTGTATGTGATCAAGGCTCAAATAACCGCGGAGCCTTTAAAAAATTTGGGGTGAGCTTGGAAAACCCATATTTTAAAGTCGATGGTCATAAAATTTTTGCCATCTACGATGTCCCACATATTATAAAATCATTACGAAATATCTTAATGAAAAATTGTATCGAAACACCTGATGGACCAGTATCATGGAAAGTAGTTGAAAAATTGTTTGAAATAGATACTAATAACTCTTCTACTAGATTATGTCCAAAATTAACAAGTAAGCACATATACCCCAATTCATTTGAAAAGATGAAAGTGAAATATGCTACACAAGTATTTAGCCACACGGTATCCTCTGCAATCAAAACATTAATTGAAAGTGGCAATTTCGATGATTGCAGGGATGTAGCATATTCAACTGCTATTTTCTTGGAAAGGGTAAATAAAATGTTTGATTGCTTAAACAGCAATAATCTAAGTGACAAAAACCCAATGAAGTCGGCTCTACAAAAAAATAACAATGTGGAAAAATACATTATGGAAATGAAAGAGTATTTTGAGAAGTGTCGTTATCCCAGCAATGTATATTGTATTGATGGACTTATTCTCTCTATGAATTCAATACTATTGCTTGCACACGAAGTATGGAATGAAAATACAGATGTTTACTTCTTGATTTTGTCTCGACTGAATCAAGATGCATTGGAGAACCTTTTCTATCTAATAAGAAGTAGAGGGGTTACCAACAATAATCCAATGCTCTTCGAATTTAACGCAATCATTTCAAAAATGTTGTCAATGAAAATCATTACCTCAAAAAGTACAAGTGGAAACTGTGAACCGGATGATGACAACATGCTTATAAATGTGATTGATGAGGCAAAGCGAGAAATTCAAGTCGAAATTTCGGAGACCAAAGAACAGTTACCTTGCCAAGAGGTTGCCTTAGAAAAATGCAATAATGAACATAGCCCTCATATAACCGAGACTATGGATTTGTCTTCCACTAATGTTATTAGTAAAAGTAGTGAAAACGCATTGCGTTATTTTACAGGTTTTGTGTTGTATAAGTCGCAACAAAAGTTTAATTGCGACACCTGCGGCGAACTTTTAAAGGACAACATTGTGCACTGCGAAAATTCAGAGCAATTTTTGTTCAATAAAAACTTTAAAAGTATTAATAATAATTTAAAGCTCAAGGCCCCACAAGACGATTTTTTTAACTTAATAAAATTACTTTACAATATATTCCACGATATCTTTACAAAGAAACCTCATATGCGGAATATCAAGCAAATTATTTATAACCAATGCATTTTACAAACTGAAAGCGATGTGAGATACAGCAATTGGTTTTCTGAAACACACGTTTGCAGTGCACATAGAAAACATATTCTTAATTATTTTCTGCTAGTTCTGCTTCGAAAGAATAGTATTTGGCTTTCGGAAAAATTATTAGGAACGTCTGGAAATCAGAGTTCAAATAAGATAAAAATATTAAAGTCTTAAACATACAATAAAATACGTTTGTTCACATGTATGTATACATTATATTATTATTATGTACACATATTTTTATATAAAAACGAACATCAAAACAAAAAAGAAATGACAAAAAATATAATACAATATAAAAATAATAATAATAATATAATAAAATATAATATAATATAATATAATAATAAAATAAAATAGCCACTGAGAAAAAATACAAAGTAAAGGAGGGCCCCCAGATTGATGGTTGCCCAGGCCCTGGTTGAGGGTTGATCCGGCCCTGAAAAGGTCGAGTTTGGTTTTAAAGTTGTTAGTGGACACAAATACAGGCATAGAGTTACACACGCACACGGTTTATATTCGACACAGCTGCAAAGGCGCTCTCTCTCGGCTCAAGCCGGAGAGAGCCGAGTGGCCTGCCGAAGCTATCGCCTCCCGACCCGAAGGCTTGGGAGCCAATCGTCTAAAAATTTTATGCAGGCAGTTTTTAGTCGATTTGACGCCTCTATGTGTTGTTTGCTTAGTGAGCTGTGAGCTATGGCAGAATTAATCGATTTACAATTTTTCTAGCTTGGTGGCTGTGTTTTCTGGGGAAAAAAAATTGTATTATTATTAAGTTAATTCAACTATCGATAGGTACCTCATGTCAGTGTAAATAGGCTAAAGGTTTTGCTTTTCCGTTCTCTGAAAACAACTAAAACTTTTTAACACTATCTTGACTATAATATTTCACTGCTCTATTACTCAAAACATTTTAATATTAAGGCTATTATAGATTTTAAAAATATGAGCATTTTAAGAATTGTTCGAAATAATTGGAAAAAGTGTGCATTTGCTGCTACTATTTCGGGGTATGCACTTAGCTCGCTTAAGACACATATCGAGTAAGTATACTTGTAAATTAAAAAGTTGTTACTTAAAACCATCTTAATTACAGAATTACTCAACATATGAGGGAATTTTCTACCAACTTATTTTCTACCTGTGAAAATATACGATCACCAAAGAAAGTTATGGTCGTGATCAATCCAATTGCCAATAAAAAAAAATCGGAAAAAACTGTAATTAGATAACATTATTTCACAAAAGGCTATTTTTATGTTATATTTTCTAGTTCAAGAAGTATTGCGAACCGATATTGCATTTAGCTGGCTATTCGATTGAGATACTTCGAACCAATCATATTGGGCACGCCAAAGCTTATATTGAAGAAATGGAAATTCTACCAGATGCAATTGTTATTGCAGGTGGAGATGGCAGCTCGTCAGAGGTTGTAACAGGCCTAATGAGAAGAAAAGAAAATGTTTGCCCTATCACAATTCTTCCACTGGGACGCACAAATCAATCCATACATAAATATTTTCATATTAGTGTTCAAAGTGAGCTGGATTATGTAAAATCGTTATGTAGTGCATTAGTACCAATGCTTAAAGATGAATTCACGTATCAGAGTGTAATTCGTTATGACGTTATCAATGGCGATGATGACGTTAAGAATCATTTAAAGCCGATATTCGGACTAATTGGATTTTCATGGGGTCTGTTGAAGGATATTGAATCAACCAAAGAAAAATTTTGGTATTTCGGTCCAATAAGACACTATGCTGCTGCCATTTCCAAATTATTTTCGAATAATTGGAGCTTAGTGACTGATTATGTGTACACGCCTCCTTGCTCAGGATGCATAGACTGTATTGAGGTTCATAATGATGAGAGTACATTTCTGAATCGATCATTTCTAGGAAAACTGGTCAATTCTAACCGCAGTAACGTAAAGTGTCAAAAACAGCTTGCTAAAAATAGCGAGTGCAGTAGTAAGCTACAAGGAAAGATGGAAGCCAATCAAATAGACGTTACTTGTGTTCGAAACAATGAGAACTTTTCCGAGTTGGAAACTCATTTCATAAGCTCATTACAGCCAGGTTGGGGTTTTATTAAAACTATTCCAAGCATTACATGTAGCACAATTGCACCACAATTAGTACTGAGGAGTCGAACTATCCAGTTATATCCAAACGGAAAAACGAATAACGATTCTTATTCAATTGACGGAGAGGAATATGATGCAAGGCCCATTAAGTTATCTGTTGTTCCCAACGCTATTAAAGTCTTTTGTTAAAAATTGTATATTTTAATATTGTGAATTCTATTTAAAAACAGCTATAAATATAGCATAACACATTCACAGCAAAAATTAACAGCTATTTCCTCCCAAATCCAGAGCTGCGTGTAATCATTTTTAAATTTTTCTGCAGTAATTAAAACTAATTTATCGTTTATTTGAATGCACGAACCATTTTTTCGGCGCAAAACTTTTACGGTAAATGATTTTGGTTTGCAATTAAAGTGCCCATACCAACATTTTCTAGAAATACACTCAATCGAACGTATATAACGTGGAAAATAATTTAACCCCAAATCAATCCAATTAATCTTCGATGAGCACTCCCACGGGCGGTGTTTAAAAACGTCAATCTTTGGATTTCCACCTCTTTCAACAACAGTACTTCTTATGCGGATCTTCCTGCCTTTTATAGTTTCTTCTTTTTTTCCAAAATATGCGAAATGGTTCGTCTCCCAAGCCGGAAAGTTTCCCAAGGAAACGACATCCCTGTCCGCATAAAATGGTATATCATATGACGATCTTTTATATCCCAAAGTGTAGCTTTCTTCATGCGGTCCTCCTGGCGGATCTATACTCATATAGCGGGGATTAAATGCTTGACCCAAAATTCGGCTTAATGATTGTGTAGAAAGCTCTGCACAATAATCCTCGTGGTTTGACACGCCAACTGCGCTGATGGCAAAATATATGCAAAAACAATTAAAATTTTGATGGAACTTCATCTTTTTACAAAATATTTACAAACACAAGGTTTATAAAAATAAGGTTGCTCTTTTTTGTTCATTGCATAGGGTATTATTTTTCAGGATCTTACAATATTAACTCTATTACACTTCCGAGTTTACTATCGATGTCAAAATTAACGCAGAATATGCGATTACATTGGCGTAATATTCGGTTTTGCGCTATGAAACAGGATTTGCGTGTTTTGATGTTTTGATTACAAAAAATGTGATAAATGAAGAACCACTCGACCGATTTTGTCCAAATAATAAAATCATCAAAATAATTAAAAACGTACAAAAAAAACCATTCCAAAGCTCGCAAAGCTAGGGAGCGTACAAATCAAAAACAGAATACGCTTGCATGTGTAATTACGCACAGAACCTGCAGGTACTTAATTATGTGTACATGTGCAGGAGGCTGGGATAAACAATATGTACATATTTTGATTAATAATACGTTTTTTAAAAATGAATTCGTTGGTTTTTTCAAATAATAATGAAACTTAGAAACAAGTTAATATTGATTACTAGCGGCCCGTTACTTACTTCGCTACGTATAAAGTGAAATAATAATTACCATAATCAATCTGACTGATGTAATTAAAAGCAACACGCATCATTTCAGCCAAAACAGCACGACGTATTCGTGATCGCCATGCAAGATTCAGTACGTTCATTACGTTCACGCTGCGATGCATTAGATTGTGCGCGTTAATCTACAGTCTGTGATCGTCTTAGTAATGCTACATCATCTACATTACGCGTTCGCCGACCTATATTTGCTCGTCTGGCTCGTGTCATTTTTCTTTCATATAAAAAATAATAAATCAAATTAAAAACAAATTGCTACACTCACCGTTTGTATGAATGCACTCAACAATATGTTTAAAAATATAAACACAACAAAGCAATAATTATCGCACCGCATGGATGACATATAAAAACATGCTTGTACTGTTAACACTCAAAAAAGTTTCAATTTGACAGTACAATCCCACTTATTGAATTCATTTATTACAAAAAATGTGATAAATGAAGAACCGCTCGACCGATTTTGTGCAAACTTCACATAAACCATCTACTAAATAGTCCCAACAAAGCCTAAATATTTGTTATTGATAGGTGAGCCCGTTCTTGAGTTATAAAATTACAACGAAAAGTGGCATACATTTTTTTATATATAGATGGAAGATAGATAAGGTGTTTAACGATTGTTGAAAATCAGGAAGTTCATCTAAGGTTAATGTTTTTAGTAAGGTTAATCCGACGGCCCTCAAGGGGACACGCATAGGCCAGTATGGCCCTTAGTTGTGCGGATGGGGGTGTATGAACATATTCGAGTATATTTGGGAGGTTTCGAAGTCCTTGAGGATCGAGGTATTTTTAGCAAAAGCAAAATATGCGAATGAACAAATTTTTTTTTTAGTTTTCTCTTTAAGGATTTAATGTAGTCTCCTTTTAGGACGATACACTTAATCCGGCGATTTTCCAATTTTTGTATCCCGTCCGAAAAATAATTTTCCGAAGGTCTTCAAAATACTCGTCATCGATGATCTCCTCGTGAGCCATCTTTTGAGTTTTGAGAAGAGAATAATCCGATGAAACAAATCAGGCGAATAAAGTGGACGGGGAAGAAATTGGAGCCTTGCCTAGCACTGTTTCGCTCGCGTTGCTCTCGCTTTCGGGTTTTTGGGCTAGACTCAGCAAACTCGGTACCCGGCGGCAGGATAGCTTTTTCATATGCAGAATCTCGCTAAAAAATTCGTACTAATCCTTGTGACATCTGCTCGCGCACCTTCACTTACCGATCAGCCAACACCATTTCATGTATTTTTTTTTTGACATTTTTCTGAGTAACCTAATCGGAGGGCCTGCCACATAGGACTTCATCGGCAGTGGAGTTTCGGTGAAATTTTGAAAAGCAATATTTCCCGGTGTGATCTGAAGAAGCATTAGCTCCATAATATTTAGCAAAATTTTCTTTTATTTCCTTCGCCGTTTTGACTCTAAAATAATAATTTTTTTTTAAAATAATAAAACATTGCCGCACGCCGTTGGTCTGCCTGGGCAGTTCAATTTGAGAAGTTTTTTAGGGTTCTAGGTTTTCAGTTGCCCCGGATTCATCGCATTTCCTGCAGCTGCCACTGTTGGTGATGCCTAGCTTGACAGCATATACCGCAGCCCGACAGTGACCTGTGAGTATTCCCACCAACATTCTGCAGTCCATCCGTTGTAGGTGCAGTTAGTGGTGGCTGAGTTTTCTATTGCGCTTCTTGCACATGGTTTTCGATGTTCTTTAGGTGGTGGTTCTACTCCACCTGCTTCTAGCCTGTGTGTCGGCACGTTTCTCTTAATCGCTTTGTAGCGTTCGAAGGGAGATAGCCACGTTTTCAGTTCTGTCGTTTGCCAGCCCAACGCTTTTGCCAGAGCGTTCGCTGTCTCGTTACCTTCGTTGCCTTGGTGGCTTGGAACCCAATAGATAGGCACAGACTTTGTCGTGGGTAGGAAATCTAGTGCCTTCATGCTTGCCAAGACATTTCTGGATCTGACCGCTGACGATTTCATGGATCTTATCGCCACTTGGCTGTCTACGAACAGAATGACCACGTCGTGTGGACGATCCGTAAACTAAGCAGTCTCAGACGCTTTCCGTATAGCGAAGACTTCTGCCTGGAATATGCTGCATTGGTCCGGTAGCTTATAGGACAGCGTACTCTGAGGTTCTGTACAATATATGCCGGCTACTACACCTCCTTCCATCTTGGAGTCGTCTCTGTAGATGTTGAAGTGTTAATTATGGTCCCGACCCTATTTCCAGTCGTCGGGTCCCATGAATGAGGATGTTTCGACATCCAGGCAAGTTCGGGGGATCGTGTAGTCAGATATACTGAACATGTCTCGACCAAATGATTCCTTGCAGCAACATGTTTCCTGATACGACTAGGCATTGCGCTGCCTTTCCTGCAATCAGTTGAGCGGTGATGGCAAGGGGGTCTATTTCGAGTGCTTTTGTTGGGGTTGGCGCTCCAGTTATGCAGAGCAGTTCCGTTAGCCTGTTGAACGTCTTCTTTTCAGTAGCCTGGCACCCTGGCACTTAGACACTTAGACTCCAGACAGCAGAGTAGGTCGCACCACTGGGATGTAGATGCAATTGCATTAGAGCCGGTCACAGGCCCCATGTGTTGCTAAGCATCTTCTTGGAGGCGTATAGCGAAATGGTGGCCTTCTTCACCCTTTCCCCTACATTTGGTCTTCATGCCAACTTGCTGTCCAGTACTATGCCGAAGTATTTGACTTGTGTTGTTGGGGTCAACCTAGTCTTATCAATTTATATAGCTGAGGATCGATTGACATACTTACGTAATAATATGCTTATGTCGTCCGCACAAGCCGTTATTTTTGGGGCTCTCCTCTCGAATCTCTTAATTAGGTCGTCGACCGGCAGACGCCACAGAAGTGGCGACAGGACCCCACCGTGAGGTGTACCTCTGTATGGCCCCTTTACTATGGAAGTGGTGCCCCACTCTGATTGCAACTGTCTACAACTTAGAACGTTCTTTATCCAGAGAATGTGCGTGATGGTCACTTTTAGGTGGTGCATTATAGCGTTCGTATTTACGTTGGTAAATGCTCCATGCTCTCCTAGAGCATACTTTTTATTCCTTATTCCTTTATTCGTTCCTGGTATGTAGGAGATTTTTTCTAGTGTTTAGAAAAGAGGTGAGCCTGCACTTTCCTGCCTTTTGGGAGAAAGAGAATCCGCGAGGTCCTTTATTGGATAGGGATATAGCCTGTGCTTAGGAATGCTGAGTATATTGCAGAGAGCCATAGGTTGATCACGTCTTTGGTCATCTGCAGCATGTATAGAAATATTCAGCCTAGTCCAGATGCTTTCATACCCGCGAAGGAGTCTATAGCCCAGTAGATTCTAATTAGGATATGGATCTGTTGGTGGGTTCCGTAACTCAGTTGTTAGGTTTTAAGATCATATTCCATGCTGAGGCAAGCTTCAGTTTGTCTAGGGTACGAACTACAATTTATGAGTAGTTTTCTGCTACTTTTGAGAAGTAAAACTGGTCGACCTGAATCTGAATAGAATAGCAAAAGATCACAGCACTTAGCTTTTATGTTCTTAGGTTCCTATTATCGTTTATTCGATTGTTCTTATTACTGCGTATATTCATTAACTACCGACGGAATACCGACTGATCGACTGCCGACTGCCTGACTGACTGCCTGACTGACTGACTCCCCACTGACTGACTGCCATTTTCTCCATGCAAGGCAGTGCCTATAATGGATATTGATCGATCGATCCACCGACCCCCCACAAAAATTACATATTTTTAAGATTGGGTCTTATCTGCTAGCGCGTGTAGGTTGATTGACCGGTAACAGAGGGTTACCTAGTCATACGCACCAGCCAGTG